GTGCTTTTCTGGCCAATGAGCTGTTCCCCAGGCCAGGTGGTTGGTTTAGTTCATGCCAGCAGAGATTAGGTGTTACCTCCAGAAGGCTCCTAGAGGAAGCTGACTCTTCTAGGAGTTGTGTCCCTCTTCTTTTTCCTGCTCCCTGAAATACAGAAGTGATATGGGACTCCAGGTGCCATTCTGGACCATGTGGGTGCCTTGGGAATGGAAACCTGCACAATTTCTGTGGTGGAACAGAAAGGAAGAAGCTTAGGTCTCTAATAATCCCCAAATTGCCTATCTCTTGTTTATTTTACTGAGTCAGAATCTACCTTCATATGCTTAGGTGAAAATTACTTTAGGTTTATAATTGTGTTTATTGTTAACAAATAAATCGCTATAGCTGGCATCTATCAAAAATGAAAGTATATAGAGTTATTGAATCGATCCCATCTGGGACTTCAACCTGTATATATAACCAGAAAGTACAGATGTGAGCAGTAGCAAATGGAATGAACAACAAAGGCATCCCTGTAGGGGGGCTGATCATGTGAGTCTTCCTCTCAAGGAAAGAGAGATTTGTTTGTGTTCCTATGAAAATGTTTAAGGCCTCATTATTAAGTGAAAAATGAGTAGGAAATGTGTAGTTTGATCGCTCTTTATAAACAATATGTATGCTCTCTTTTCCCTACAAGTAAACAAACCCTGTTAACCCACCAGCAAGGAGAGGGAAGTTATTGTGGAGGGAGACTTTTGCTTTTCATGCTGTGTATTTTTATACAGCTAGAACTTGCTCTCATATGTCTGTCTTTATATATTTTAAAAAAATATGTATATAAATTTATTTTTATATAAATGTTTCAAAATATATAGATATATTTATGTTTAATATAAATATAAATTTTTTAAAAATCACTTCCAGTAGCACACACTTGCTCCTAACCTAGTTTTATATATTGACGGCATGGGGCATTTACATTCCTTACATTTCCTTCACTGTAATTATCATAATGTTTGGATATAGTCTGACGTCTGGTTGCTACTGCAGTAACTTAAAGGTCGCCCTAAAGCATTGTCCCTTCACGGCTCCCTTCTCTGCCCACCTCCTTTGCCCTCTCTTGCCCCTCCCCCCACTCCTTCCTGTTGCCTCTCTCTCCCCACGGGAACATTTGTAATGTTCCTGACTCTCCAGGGACCTGGTCTTCCTGGGCCCTGCAGAGGATCAGGGGAGACCAGAGCCCAGACTCTCCTGGGTGACAGCTAGCTCGGGGCTCTCCCAGCCGCCTCTGGAGCCAGCACTGGTATGCTGCCTGAACACAGAGTCCCGGACACTCGGAGGCTCCCAGGTGTTTTCCACCAGGTTATTTGTTCCTTGCGATGCACGAGGACACATGTGCTCTGACAGTAGTTGGCAGATAATCAGTTTATTTACTCAGGCTTGCAATGAAGGCCCCGGGTTTTTGGCTCTTTGTTAAAGCAGGAGCGCTCCGCTTATGCAAGCAGGCTGGGTACACAGTGGGAAGACGGTAGCAAGGCAGTCATGTGCCAGGAAGCAGATGGCAGGAGAGGTGACCCTGGGCTCCAGGGGACCTCCGCGCCCGAGGAAGCTCCCAGAGCAACTCAGTTGGTGCTTGGCTTTTAGGACCGCTACTTCTTTAGGAAGTGACATGCATAGTGGCCCTTTTCTTTCATGATAAAATCCAAATATTGAGAACCCGTGGTCCAGAAGGGTTACTGTAGAATGATCAAGAAAATTCATATCTCAGCAGTGGCAAATTCAGGCTGCTTTAGGAATGGATTCCCACATGAGTTAATATGAGTGGGTAAAATCCAATGAAGAGAGTAAATATGGGATTTGGGTTCAGGAACGCCTGGAAAAGCTGTTTTCGTGCCAGCTATTTTGGTTATGAAATATATGCTCAACTTACAGTGGCGGAAAGAAAAACAGGATTGATTGAGCCGTTTAACTAGAAAGTTCAGTTGTGATATCAGACTCGTCAGATCCAGAGCTTTAAAACCGCTGAGGTCCACTGTCACTCCCCTCTCCCTCGGCCCTGCTTTCCTCTGTGAAAATTTCATGCCCTGCAAGATGGTGACTGACTCCCAAGGCCTTCTCCTTCCAGCCTAGCAGGCCAGGATGAAGCCCTTCATGCTGTAGTCGCAGCAATCCCAGAGCTGGTTTTCACTGCCTAATTTGGGGCACATGCCCATCTCTTAACCCCTGCCCTGTGATCTTCCAGGCCTGTACCCAGTCCTGTACCCAGGCCTGGTGCCAGGGTCACACTAGCATGGGGGTGGGATGCAAGAGGAAGTTCAAAGGAAAATTAGTGTGTTATCAGAGTAAGAAGAGAGAGCCCACAGACAATTAAATGTCCCCTATACCAGTATAGGCTGCCAAGGTTCAAGTTTTTGCAGTAGTAAATTAAAGGGAGAGAGAGGAGATACCCCTAGTGTATGATCATGCTCGAAACATTAGTGATGAGAGGCTCCCAGACCTTAGTGAAGGCTTTGGGGCTACTTTTAGAGTCTTTGGTTCTTGTGGTCAAGTATTAGGGTTGTCAACAGATTGAACTAGAAATACATGTTCTTGCGGGTACTTCCCAGGCCTGGCTGGATCCCCAGTCTAGTGTTCCCCTAGGAGAGATACAGTAATTCAAAAGTGTTCCTTGGGGTTTCATCATTCCTCCCCAAACCTAAGGAAACCGGCCTAATTTATTTTTTATTCCGTTTTGTCTGTTTTTACATATGTTTAAGCAGCCAGTGAATAGTGAGTAGAACCCACACTTAGGGGTTCTGACTCTGAATGAGTCTCCCGTACTCTGCTGTAGGTGGGTAGAAAGAACAACAAGGCACTTTGTTGACACCTTCCAGAAATAGGATATCTGAAAAGAAATCTTTGTAAGACTCAGCCGTGTTGTCTTTCGTAATGCAGAGTTTGATTAGAGACGTGGAAAATCCTGGCTCAGGACACACCCTGTGTGATCAGACGGGGTGAGCAGCATGGCTGTGGCAGCCCCTCTCCACCTCTGAAAGTGGGAACGGTGTTACAGATGTCTGCAAGGGCAGACGCAGGAGTAAATAGGTCTCTTCTGTGCCACTGTAGGGGTACCCCAGGAAGCTTGGAAGGCAACTTGGCAGTGTTTTTAAAATTACTTTATAGTATCCTCCTTAGAAAAACTCGTACGACAAAAGAAAGGCACATAGAAGATGTTCACTTCTGCCCTATGCTCACTAATGAGAGAATAGCCATACGCACCTCAGTCAAGCAGTGACTATTATGCAGCAGGTAAAAAGACAGAGGCAGATCTCTGTTGGGACATGAAAAGACTTCGGGAGCCAGGTTTCAGACCATGAAATGGCGCGACTTGAATTTTGTTTTTCAGGATTGCTTTGTCTCTGTAAGTGAAAAAAAGGAAGCTGTTAGGAGGCTGTTTCAGCAGACCAGTAGAGAGGTAAGAAAGTACTATTTCAGTTTTAATTTCTTCAGTATGAGTGTAACTGAGCGTCTTTTCATTTGTCTAAGGGCCATTTGTATTTTATTTCCATGTAGAATTTTGAAGTGGTGACTTATCTGCTCGTTACTTGGTTGGGAGGAGCCTTTGGCTTTGTCTGTTCCACAGGCCATGGGACACATTCACAGTTCTATGCTGAGTGGTGCAGTTGGACTGGCCTAAGAACACTGTCAGAGCACGTGTGACGCGGTGCTCGCTGTAATCAGAGCTGCTGAGCAACCCACTGTACAGCCATTCATTCTCTTTCTAAAGCTACTTCATTTCTCAGAAGGATCCGGAAAATGATGTGATGGGTTGCTCTCATTCCATAAGCAAGAGAGAATGTTATTTCTAGAATGAAACTTTGGGGACTAGAACTCTCACTTCTGTATTTGTGTTTTGTGGCAGAGGAGTCAAACGGCTGCTCTAATTTCTTCTTTAATTTAGTTTTTTATGGTTTCTGCTATTTTGCTTCTTTAAATTAGTCGTGTAATCTATCTTGTTATTTCTGTATTCAAAGTTATACTGAATACATAAGGAGATTCAAAGGTATATGAATATTTAATAGAAATTTGGCCGGAATCCTCCAGCAAAGAGGGGAAATGGCATTATAATTTAAAGTAGGCTTTTGCATAATAGTAAGTGCTTCACATAATAAAGTAGCACACTGTTACAGTCTTTTAGGATAACTAATTATATACACAAGAAACCACCCTGTCTTTCTATCCTCCTGGATAGATTTAGATTTAGACTTCTAGTGTATTCAACCTTTAATTGAGGTATCTAATTTAGTAGCAGACTCTGATCCCAGAATATTCTGGAGGGAGTGTCTGGGGAGAGGGGTAGCACTCGAGGGACTGCAGGTGAGTGGAGGAATATCCGGTTAGATCAGACACAGTCACCGCTGGCTGTGGGTTGGTGCTCTTTACTCTTCCAGCACACTGGACCTCTCCTCGCCCCTGCAATCCACTCACCTCTCCTCCCTTTTCAAACTGATGTCCCATAAGCTATTTGAGACAAGTGGTTATGAAGCTTGGTCTAGAGACCATCTGGTAAGACATTCACCAAAGTGTAGTGCTGAGTGGCTGCATAATATTCACTGGCCACGTAATACCATCTATTACTCTGGCCTCACTTAGTGAAAATGTCCAGTGCCATCCAGATGCGACTGTGGAAGTTTAATGAAACCTCCTAGGTATTTCTTCACACTAACAGAGCGTTAAGGAAATACAGCGGGGGCTCCTCAAGGTAAGCTGATTTTCCAGTGCTAATCATTTTAAGATGAAAGTTTCTGAGCAATTCTGTTGCCTTTCCATGAGGGAGGGTTAGCATGTTAAGACATGCGAGGAGGTAGAGGTAAACACGAGGACAACAGGCTTGATAGCCATTGATTCGGCAAACTTTAATTGGGGCTTTTCTTATGTGACAAGTCCAAGGCAGAGAATGAGTCCCGTGTGTCTTCCTGAGGACATGACCTTTTAAGGGCCCAAGGGGCCAATGGTGCCCCAAGTGTGATCTTTGCTCCGCTGGGGAATGTGAGGTGATCTTAGGTCTCCATGAAAGAGTGTTTCTTCTCCCCTACCTCCAGGTTTGATAGCATTTTCTCTTTTTAAAAATCTCTGACTCTGGGCCCTCCCTGGTGGCGCAGCGGGTTAAAGCACAGCACTGAGAATCAAAAGCCGCTTCCGCATGAGTTCGATTCCCGCCTGCCCCGGAGGTGACCACATGGCGTGGCAGACCTCTCCTGACCCGCCCGCTGCTCCCCTCAGCAGTGTACTTCGTTGATCTGCCTGTTCTGTTCCCCACTCTGTCTCTGGTGAAGCCTCTCGCCGCCCCTGAGCCTCTGGCCTGTACCCCAGTTCTGTATGCACAAATAAATAAAATCTTTAAAAAAAAAAAAAAAATCTCTGACTCTGACAGTTTCAAAGATACATTAAATCAGGGAGAGAATGAAATGGCCCCATGTACTCATTCATTGTGAGCAACGATTAACCTTATGCCTGTCTTGGCCTCTTACATTTTGAATACTAACACTTCTTAATTTTAACAACGAATTTTGATGATGAGTGTATGTTTCAGTGTCTATCCAGAAAAATAGAACTTACACATAGAACTGATAACTTCACAGTATTCTGGCTTAGGACAAAAGCACACTCTTCAAAGGTAAGGCTTAAAACTGCTCCCCAGATAAGACAAAGTTCAACAGGGGAGTTACAGAAAAGACGTAAAGTCTGTGACCACGGTTAGCAGCAACAAGAGATCGGGAGCAGCATGGCCTTCAGCACCCCCATCCCTGAAGGGAGTTGACCCGCAAAGCAGAATGAATTGTGTTTTCTTTTGGTATAAGTGAGCTATGTCTCCTTCTTTCCACAGTATTGGTATTTTAGGAGATAAATCTGTTTTCTCTGCAAAGCGAGATGTTGAGGTTCTGCTGCCTAGTTTTGGGACTTGCTGTCCTGGTTTAGCAGTTCTCCAGTCCTACTGAAATGGCCTGTCTGGGACATTTGGCCATGCCTGGTGATGTTCTGGGTTGTCACTACTGAGGTGGCTGGTGCTGCTGGCATCTGGTGGGTGCCAGTGAACAGAATGCTGCTAAATTCACCAGGGGCATGCCTGTGTTAAAAATTGTATGTTTTTCTGAAGTGCAGCTTTAAGTGGATATCTGTGTTTTCACTTGTTAACTAGAAACGCGAGGAACCGCACTTCCTAAAGCACACAGGACACCCCATTGGAAAGGATTGCCTGGCCCTGACAGCAGGGACAGCCTGCCCCAAGTGAAGTGTAGACCTACAACTGATGTCGCCATCCCAGATCTGTAAATGAAGTAGAAATCCTAGAGGGATGGATTAGTATGGTGTCGCTTAGATGACACCGGGAGTTCAGGTCCTCTGGCCTCAGCGGAGTTCATTTATATCCCTGTTGGAGGCTCAAGTCCTGCCGCCAATGAACAAGTGACCCAATGACAAGTGGCATTGTATAGGAAGATTCTCGTACCCCCCCACCCCCTTGCTCTTTGAGTACCTCCTGCCCGAACACTTATCACCTACTGCCTCATCTGGTTGCTTGGAGGGATGTACTGGGTCAGCAATCAGCTAAACCAGAAATGCCCACCCTGAAGCTGAAGAGGTCATTGGGACAATGGTAAAGAGGCAGAACACAGGCCCACATTTTAGTTACAGAAGTAATGCAAGAGAGGGGTACTCTCAATTATGTCTTGTATGATCACGTCAGGGTTCAAGGGTCAAGATCAAGTTTCATGCACTGACTGCTGACAAGCTGGGACAGAGAGCAAGTTGAAGTCCATTTTCCAGAGGAAGGCCCATCTCTCAACTAGGCCGTAAGCACGGGCAGTTGTTGGGGTCTAGGGACACGGGATCTTTCCAAACAGCAGTAGACTGGCATGGAGAAGATTTGGAGGGCAAATCTTCCTCTTCCTTCCACATACCTTTTTACTCATTAGGCTGCCTTTTGCCAGATACATGCCATGCTATTTTCTCTGGTTTTCTTGGGGCGTCTCTTATGTAATAGGGTTGCCCGTAACACGCATCTCCAGGCACAACTAGCAAAGATTACAACTTACCCTCCCTTGTGAAAATGTTGATGCATTCACCCTCACTCCACTTATTTCCTAGCCAAGAAGGAGAGGCGGGGTTACTGGTGTCTTCAGTCACTGTCCACAAGAGATCCTTTGCACTCAGCGAGTGCAGAGGGAGGTCATACTGCTAGCTATGGAATGGCCCAGAATAATGGAGAAACCAGCTGCAGCTGCACGCTTCAAGTGAAGCTGCTTGTTTAAAGAGGCGGAAGATGTGGGCTCCTGGAGGTCACACAACCTGACCTGTCCCTACTCCACATCTATCTCATCTGGCCTTTCCTTAGTCATTTCTGAGCCGTGAGGAGGTGGCTGCTGCATTTGTGAGTTCATCGCACAGTCAAGACAACGAGAGGCCGAACTAGACTCAGTATGTGGTAATGCAACAGCAGATGCTCATCCGGTTACCCCGAGTCACCCAGAAAAGGTCCCATTGCCCTTTGTGTCCTCTGTTCAGAGGGCAGGGAATGTTGTCATCCGTTTGAAACCTTGCCATCCAAAAAATAGCTGAAAATAACATTTTGTGTTTGCATGTTTGAAAGGTTAGTTTCAGTTTTTGAAAACTTGATCTCTGTGCTCCGCTACTCTCCATGACTGGACCGGGGAACAAGATGGCACCATGCTTTCCTGACGTGCTGTCATTCCCACAGACGTCATGCGTTCTTGCTGTTTTCATGTTGAGTGGGAGGGCTCTCGAAGGCAACAATCAGTTTTTTTTAATGAGCATTTCTGATGGAATAATGTGAGCTCCACAAAATAGTTGCTTCGGTCATCCACAGCTCTCCCTGTTGGTCACAATTCACGTAACTGAGTCATTCCAGCAGCCATCCCATCTCATTGTCATGCCCCCCCCCCCGTGTGACAGTTTTATCATTTCTTTAAAAAAAAAATGACTTTGACTGTCTTGAGATGTTCTGGCGAGGTGCCTTGTAGAATGGGCTGTCTGCTGTTTTTCACATGATTAACTGAAGTGATGGGTTTGGGGGGACTTGAGCCACAGAGGTGAAGTCCCCTTCTTGTCACTTCATATGTGGGCACATGAACTCTCGGCTGATGGATAGTTTAATCACTGATTCTTGGTGGCATCTGCCAGGTTGACCTGCTGTAGGGAATTACTATTTATCCCTCCCCCTACTCTGCCCAGTGTTTACCAAAGCTAGCTCGCCCTTGGGAGAGTGGGGGTTCAGTTCCACCTCCTGGAGAGGAGTAACTACCTGTATTACTTGAAATTCTTGCATAAGAAAGACTTTAGACTGCCGTATAAATGAAATATTTTTAACAAACACGGTTGCCAAATTGTTGTGACAGGAACCCTGTGATACGGGTCGCAGCATTGGAGCAGGCTGGCAGGGCAGTCTCTGCTACTGAG